CTAGATAAGACCCTTATTCATCGTCTGATGTCGTTTAAAGCCCTTTGAAGCTGCAGTGAAACTGTCTTTTGGACCTTGAACCGTTTGGACCCCATTGAAGTCCATTATATGGAGAAAAATCCTGGAATGTTTTCATCAAAAACCTTAATTTCTTTTCGACTGAAGAAAGAAAGACATGGACATCTTGGAAGACATGGGGGTGAGTAAATTATCAGCAAACGTTTTTTTTAAAGTGAACTACTCCTTTAACTTTCATTCCCTCTGCGTTCATTTACCGAGGGGAGAAGGATATGATTAGATTTACAATGCAAACATGAAGGTGCACTGGTGTTCCTAAACCACCCTTATATTCCATATGAGTCTCCTTCAATAATGTTACATTCTCCACAGATCTATTATAGTATTATTCTTTTTTTAGCAGATGCTTTCTTCCTTAGTACATTTTGCTCCCTCCTGGATCAACCAGACACAAAGACAAAAATACTGATGTAACATGAATAGCTATTTCTGTGATTGAAACTTTTGGTTACTGTAAACCACTTCCCTACCCCTCATATCAACTGTACTGAAGGAATTTTACTTTCACTTTCATTTCCCCAACACATGGTAAAAACTAATTTACTTATTGACTTACTAACCTGTGTATTCTAGGTTTATGAGATATTGGCTGCGTACATAGCTTAGAAATGCTGCCTTCGGATGATGCAATTACAAGGTAGGAAGTGAGGAAGCTATATAGTCAAGTCAAGTCATCTTTTTTTTTTTAACCTTTATTTAACCAGGTTTGTCTCATTGAGATATAACACCTCTTTTTCAAGAGATCTTCATTTATATAGCGCTTTAACAATGGAGATTGTTCCAAAGCGGCTTTACAGTGATAATAGGTCAATAATAAATTAAAGTAACAGATTGTTTTGGCTTCATGGCAGCTCGTAAGTAGTTTGGACTTCTCTGTGCATGCTCTTTGAGGTGGTGACCATAGACCTGCATTATATGACTGACAGATAAAAACGGTTTGACCTAAAAATATCAAAATTAAAAAAAACTGTGGAAACAAAGAGACCTACAACTTGGATGCCCTTGAGGTAAGATAAAACACACCAAACATTAATTTCAAAGTGAACTATCACTTTAATCGTGCCACTCTATAAAGACCCAATTTATACTGTGAAGAATTAAAGTAAAAAAAAATATGTGTAGACAATTATTTGGAAAATATTTATGTGATTTTTGCTACTCAATGTAGTAGTTCTGTTAGAAATATTATTTATTTACAACTAATAATAATACGTTTATTTATTTTTGCATTTCAATTTTTTTGTAGAAACTAAAATATGTAATATATAACAGGCCTATATAGTATTATTATGTATAATACTATAAATAAATGAGTACTCCAATAAAAGAAGGGTTGAGTCTGTCGCACTGACCTGCTCATAGATCTCGATGGCTTTGGGATATTGCTCGAGCTGAGCGCTGTACGAGCCCACCTTCAGCAGGCACTTATTAGCAGAGCTTAACCAGAAAACATCAAGCAATAAAAATGAGCATTTACAAAGACTGAGCAGCTTTTTACAACCCACAATAAAAGGAAATGGAGGATAATTATAAATATTAAATGACATCCTAATAGAATTTACACGGCAATGACAAACAACGAAAACACAAACCTGTTTGACTCTTCGCCTTTGTAATAATCCGCGGCCTGCTCATAGTGTGCGATGGTCTAAAACAACATCACACAAGACACATTGATCTTCAAAAGCATTTTTGAGGAAAAAAATACACATCTAATATATGTTTAAAGGCAAACGGCACCTTTTCAATATCCACTAGCTCGGATTCATAGATCTCTGCAATGGTCATGTGATGCTTTGCAGCAATCGTGAACCTTCCCTGTCAATCACACATACAAATTAGAGATTATATAACATCCACATTTTCAGTAAACAGGCACATTCAGGTTAACAAACCACAGAAAATGCATTAATTTTTAATTAACATTTCTAATGCATTTTAATGCATTAAAATGCATCAATATGCACACCAGTCCCAGTGTCTTACCATGTCTGTATAAATATCGATGGCTGCATTTAAACAGTTGATAGCCTCTGTGTGATTCATTCAAACAGAAGAGAGCAAAATGAGTCAAATGCAATTCTTACAAATTCATCTTCACTCATAATTTCACCCAAGGAAAAGACATGTGTAGACACGTTACAATTTTTGGAGATTAGATTGTTTATTAAAATGGAACTAAAATAAGTTTTGATGATATAATATTACATTTATTTATATCATTTTTGAGCGGAAGGAAAAACATGCATGTATCTGTTTTCGTGCATGTATCTTTAAATGCAAATGAGCTGCTTTTCCCCGCCCCTCTTTCCAGAAGAGGGCGGAGCCATTACAGCTCGTGCCTCGGATACTCTAAAAACTAAAAATCTGTTTGGTTTTGATTATCATCTCTATCGCGGTCCTGCTCACATGACATTGCAGTTCTTCATCATCATGGAAGTTTAATATCTGCATGTGTTTTAAAACCATATCAGTCTTAACTTCTGATATATGGTTTTCTAAACACACATCGAAACACGTGCACAGAAAGCTTGATGTCAGACGGCGCGTCCCGTTCTCTTTCACATGCTATTGTGCTTAAACTGTCAAACACAAGTTCACATAAACACAGTCGTGTGTATATTAGATCTGTGTATTAAATGTTAAGCAGCGTAATATGCAGTAGCTACTACTGTATATGCATTTAATATCAAACGACAACAAAAAAAACATAAAATAACTCACTGCTCGTGACTGAATGACTTTAGTAGAAATTAATTTCTTACATTAAATGCTCTGGCGACTGTGTACAGCTCACTCAGGGCGGGCTCTATGCTAATAGGGCGGAGTCTGTCAGCAGTCGTGGGCGGGGCCTACACATTAGAATCATTAGAATCTGCAAACGGCTTGTTCTGAGACGCTGCTGGTTTATGGGGATTAAAAAAGGAGGAGTGGGTGGATTTCTACCAATATATGTTGGTTGTGTAACACATTTAAGCTCAAACACCATGTAAAAGAGAATTTTGCATAATAGGTCCCCTTTAAAACCAGTGTTATTTTAAGCCCTCTCACCTTGAGGATCTGCCTTCTTATAAGCATTTCCAGCATCAACAAAGCTGGTGGCCGAGTCCAGTTTGTTCTGCATCTGCATGTGAAGTCTCGCAGCTTGGCAGAAAGCACTGCCGGCGGCTACAGCAGCGAAACACACACGTCTTTAGATCACTGACAATCATGACAGAACTCTTCAGAAGCAGGGTGATGCTTAAACACACTGCAGTAAGATCACTAATCATCTTAGAAGAAAAGGTTCTATATAGAACCTTAAAAGGTTCTAAAGTGCTACGTATTTGGAACCCCTAAAATGCAATGCATGAATGATCACAAAATTCAAGATATGGGGGTTAAAAAAATGTTATTAATCAATAGGCTATCACACGAAGAGTGCCATTTCAGTGTTTATCTTCCAAAAATCAGCATGATTAAAATGTGATATTAAGTTACTACAACAGTTTAATAAACAATAATTTAATTACAACTGCAAAATGTTGCAGAATAATGTAATATATGAATGATTAATAGCCTATAAAGAACCTTTGTGCCAAAAAGGCTTTTTTCTTGTCATTATCATCTTTTTTTTTTTCTTTTGCAGTTGAGTAAAGAACCCTATGCTGCATATACAGTATAGAACCCTTTTTTCTAAGAGTGTGGGGTCGAGCACAAAGATGGCCTGTCAAATGATGCTTTGGAGTGAATATCCAATAATAGGCCTACTCTAACAGCATTACAAATAAGCATTTAGAGAAATAATTTACCACTTTACATATAAATTATGAAATGACTTGTGCATACCACTCCAGTTTTTGGCCATCTTGAACATGTTGGCAGCTCTGGCATACATTTCACATGCATCCTCAACCTTATGATTTCCCCTGTGAAAACATCAACGTGGCAATTTCTAAATGAATAGCTTATCAATGAGGTAGGCCTATCAAATACAAAGCAGTGTGTATGTCGCAACATAGAAAATATTTGACATTGGACATGTTGAGAAACGCGTGGAAGGATACCGCTCATTTTATACGTGTATAAAATGCACACACACACACAGAATATTTTCATTATATTGACTTATGCTATTTAAATATACTAGAACATTGGATGTCTTTGAATGTCAGATCGTGACCAGCATAATTTCTGTCTCACCCGAACATCCCTCCGAGAAATGAACCCGATGATTTGACTTTTTTATCCGCCTCTGCCATCAGCTGCATGGCTTCCTTCTCTTTCCCGGAATTATCCATGATTTAATGTGTGGTGTTCGCGCAGAGCTGCTGTTTGATCCGTAAAGGCCCGGTGTTTGTTGATATAGAGTGCGGCTTTAATGCAGAATCATGAGAAGGATGCTCGCCTCCTCCTCCTCCTCCTGCTGTCAGGTGATGCTGATGATGCGCGTTCTTGAGGGAGAAACTGCGACAGTATTTGGTTGAAAGACGTAGCCACGCCCTCTAATTATTATACATGAGACTAAGTCACACCCTCTTTTTGTTATACATGAATGAAGACGTTGCAGCCACGGTCTTTTATTATCATCATCATCCACGGATGAACAAATGCATCAAATCAATAAATACGGATATACACAAATTAAGGAATTTAAACATAAAAAAAATACACAAATAAACACGTATACATGCGTTTCGAAATAAACAATTAAGCGTGAGTTTGATTAAAAAAAAAATAATAAAAGGGATTTAAATGTAGCTTCGAAAGAAAAGTAACATCTTGCAAAGGACGGTAAAAAAGGCTAAAAAAAAAAAAAAAAAAGGCTAAAAACGACGTTTGCGGCTCAGCGCATGTACGGAAGTGGCGTCACGATGAGCGCCAAACTTCAAGCCTGACCAGACGTCATCGACTGAGGAAGTAAACAAACAGTGGTAGTAACTTCTCTCAATAAGATCTTTTTAAAATTTCTTTTTTTAATTAAAATATGTGTCGACATTTTTCCTCAATGTATGCTCTTTCTTCCACATTAATTAGAGCCGCGGTAAAATTAAAATACAACAGTTAGTCCAAGTGTAAGTTATCTGTGTACGTTATTTAATTATTTGACTCATTGTAGAACTGATATCGCCGAATTTAGATTTATTTGAGTCTTTTTATGGTTGGCAAAATAATAAATACGTGTTTAGTTATTATAATAGATGATAAAGTGTGAGTAAAACAGCAGGTCTGTATTGATTTGATTAAGTATATTGTTTATATTGATCTATTATGATCATGTTTCTGTGTTCATTTGTTGTGATTTTGCTTTCAGACTTTCGACGGTGAAGGATGAGCAGTCAGGCTTCTGACCGAGGGTCATACCGAGGGTCATGGAGGGGTGCAAACAGTTCATCTGCTGGAGGAAGAGGATGGAGAGGAGGAAGAGGATGGAGAGGCCATCAGTGGAGCAGAGGAGGAGGAGGAAGAGGAAGAGGGAACTATTCCACCAACAATACACAAAATAGTAAGTGTCTTAAAAGTTGGGTAACTTGTGACCATTGACAAAAAAAACTTGAATCAAATACATGCATTTCATCCAAACTTACAATAGAAAGACATAAGCAGTTTGTCACAGAGCCAATAGTGTTCATAGTATATAATGCCCTGTTTGATAAAAAGCTAGAAAAAAAAAAAAATGAACCTGTAAACGAATTAAATGTAATTAATTTTAGAGTGGTACAGGTACAGGTATGATGTCGCTTTGTAGGTCAACTGGCAGTTCGCATTACACTGATTCCTTTGACACAAACAATAGGATTTTTTCATTATTTTATCAAGAGGAAAATATTCCACCAACAATAATACACAATATAGTAAGTGTCTGAACAGTTCGGTAGCTTGTACTATTGACAATAAAAGTTGATTAAAAATTTACATTCATGTATTTAGTTGACACTTTTATCTAATGCAAGTTGCTAGAAAAACATAAGCCACAGAGCCAACAGTATTCATAGTATGCATGCCAGATTTTTTTAGAAAGCTAGAAACTAACTTAATTAGGAACAAGTTAAATATTATTTATTTATAATAAAGGGATAGTTCACACAAAAATTTAAATTACCCAATGACTTACTCGCCTCAAGCCATCCTTGGTGTGTATGACCTTCTTCTTTCAGACGAACACAATCTGAGTTATATTAAAGAAGTTATTTTTGGGTGAACTAACCCTTCATAATGTTGTATTTGAAAAATATAATTTATTTCTAACTTTTTTTTTGTTATACTGACATTTGCCATTTTATTATTATTATTAATGTTGTTGTTTTTACTCCACAGGATTTACTCCACAAGTTAGTCAAGCAACCCTTGATATCACGTGTCCATACAAAGGATGGCGACTCTATTTTTCTGAAGGTTTTATATTTCCTATTTACATTCTGAATGTGTTCTTAACCTGTTGGATATATGTCTGAATGTCTTCTTGATTTTGATTTATATTGTAATAGTTTGTGATTTGTGTTTGTTCCTTTTCAGGATTTGTTGAAAGTTCACCTTATGTCGAGAAGAAAAAGTGTTTGAAGGTACTTCACATCACAGATGGACCTTTATGATAAGGTATCAAATTTCACAGCATGATGATTCTCCTATTTCAGTCTTAAAAAAACAAAACAATATATTATATTTTTTTGGTCACCTCAGGATGAGATTGAAAGGAAAGGCAGCATTTTAGTGGACTACAAAGACCTGTTGTCCAACAAACAGATTTCACACACTTTACCTGATCTTGCCAAAGAGCTAAGGAAATGCCTGAGAGATACTGGACTGCTTGGGTGTGGCAATTCATCAGGTGGGTTTTTGTGTTACGCATTTACATATCCGTCACTGTTCTCAGTTAACATTATGCCAAAACCTCGGAAGATCAAGCTGAAATAATGAATCTTTCTCTGCAGGTGCTGACTGTGGATCTGGAGAGACATGCAGCAGAACTGCAGGGGCAAGAGGATCTTCCCCCGCAGCGTCCGGCCATAATCAAACACCACATATCAGCGCCAGGTGAGTCTGTGGTACTTGTCTTATGAATATCAAGACAAGTCAAATTTTATTGTATATTTCACAATGCACGTGTTTAAAAGGAGCTTTACTGAAAATAATTATGTTAATGTTTGTTTTCTTAATATCTTCAGCCCTTATAGTTGCATTTAGCATTTAGTAAATGAACATTTAGATCTAAACAGCAGTTTAGTTTACATTTGTCATAAATTTAGTTTACATTTTGTGACAATACTAGCAATCAAGCATATAAGGTCTAATAAATCACATGTATCCTCATAAAGACATTAAACTTTAGTTCGGAGATAATATAGTTTAATTTTGCGATGAAAAAAAGTGTTTTAATTTCTTGTATGTGTCTCTTTCTCTCTTTTAGGCTATATAACTATGAGCCACTGACTCCTTTGAAAAGTCTGAGAGCGAATTTATATGGGAAGTTTGTTGCGATCAGAGGAACGGTGGTGAGAGTGAGTAACATTAAACCGCTCTGCAGTAAGCTGGCGTTCGTCTGTAACAGCTGTGGGGATACACAGAGCGTCACACTGCCTGATGGGAAATACACCATACCCACTAAGGTACAGTGTTCAACCAACATCACTTGTATATAACATGTTTAACAAGTTTTGATTCTGTGAGATTCCACATATTTTGCTTTTTTTAAACTGGAAAATTACTGAGAAAAGAATAATCTGTAAGCAATACGTATAAAATTAGACACATTGCACATAGTAAGTAGTAAATGTCACTGTTTCTGTATTTAGTGACATCTAACATGATG